AATTTCATTTTATTTTTTCGTATTTAATTTTTTTAACTTTTATTTTTATTTTTTACATATATTATAAAATATCTTTCAACAAAAATGATTTTAAAAAAAATATTTTTCCTAACCGCCAAGTCCAAATGCTACTCACCTTGGCATTTCAGATTTTGGCTTTTCGGATCAAAATGCCAAGTGAAAAAGCCATTAGCCAAACAATGGTTTTGGCGGTTCGCTCGGTCAAAAAAGCCAAAGTCAGTCAAAGATGCCAAAAGCTATCTCAAATGCTGTTTTCCAAACACGGCCATAGCTTGCATGCACATATATATGTTCACGTACGTACGTATATACGATCTAAAACTATATCAAAATTTATTTTATACATACCGAGTATATTTTGGTATTTTTGGCGTGCTTTGGAGTGGGATAAGAGCATGAGCAATGACAAGTATAAAAATGAAATGTCACACGCTAACATGATATTACTATCTCCGTCTCAGTATATTTGTCCAGTTTGACTTTTTCGAGTTAAACTAGACAAATTTTTAGCTCTAATTACTCTCAATTTTTATTGCATGTTAGTATAATAAAATTCAATTTTGAAATTTTCAATACAATAGATCTAATAATGTCAGTTTTATTTTAGAGTACATTACCGTTTTTATTTAATTGAAGCTCGAAGTTTGTCCATTTTGACTTGAAAAAGTCAAATTAGACAAATACATTAGAACAGATGGAGTATTATTACGAGTATTTATTAAATTGCAAATATCTTATTTTGTTTTCAATTAAAGTGTGATTTGCTAAGATTTTAAAAAAATTGAACAAATAATTTGCTAAAAATTTACATATTGTATAATTGATAATTGTGTCATTTTAATGTTATATTTGGAATAAATTGAGATACAATTTATTTTTTTTGTTAATCAATCATGTCTTTTAAAAATTTGTTAGAAGCGCTACTCCCGAACCCCTGTAGTGTGCCCCCTCGATAGCTAGCTCCTAGCTCCGCCACTGTTATCATCATTTACCCACATACTTACTCTAAAATATTCCATTTAATAGATAAATGCCTTGTTTGGATGTTGGCTGTCAGCTGTTGGCTGTTGGCAGTTCGTGCCAGCTGTTGTGAATGGCTGTTTAATTTAGCTAGTTTGACCGGCAGAATGAATTGGTCGATTGTTAAAAATGTTTGGTAAAATTAGCTGTTTGAAATAGTTTTTCCTCTCTCGCTATATGTGTGTGTGTGTGTGTGTGTGTGTGTGTGTGTGTGTGTGTGTGTGTGTGTGTGTATAAACACGGCCAAAGAAAGAAAATGTTCTACAATACTCCATCCCTCCCCTTGAAAATTGAATCTCTTTTCTTTTTCTTCCGTCTTAGAAAATTTTTATTATTTCTATTAAAAAGTCAATTTACCCATAATAATTTTTAACCTACCTACCTATCACATCATATTTATTTATCACTATTAATCTACATACCCATCAAACCTCACTTTTTACCCATCACATCCAAGTACGTTTTTGGAAACTCAACACCAAAATACATTCCCCTTAAATCTCATAAAAATCAAAATCTCTCATGTTTTCAGAGACGGAGAGAGTATTATCCTTGAAAATTAAAAATAAAGAATTAAAATCATGTTGATAGAATAATAGTATGAAAAATTTGCTCCATATAGAACTAAAAGGTAGTACATTTCCCTGAATAGGACTAAATATGTTTTATTTCCTTTGTGAAAATTTCATATGATATGCCATATATGCCATCATTAGCAACAAAAATTGGATAATGACTTATTATACGAATGACTCTAGGAATGTGGTCATTAGCAACAAATATTGGATAATGAATGATTATTCCAATGACTATGCTATAATGAATGTACTATCAAAAGAACAAGTAATACATGGAATTTCTTTTGTTAGAAATCATCTTAAATATGACTAGCTAAAACATAGAGAAAAGTACCAAAATATGACTTTCATGTTTTTTTTCTGAAATAGGACTTTGCACTGTGGTATTGTGACTTTGCCCTGTGGTAATGTGGCAGTGTACATGTGCACATTACTGTACTTTTAAGGTAATGTATATGACCATGTTTGGTAATGTAATTCCTATTTCGGGGAAAAAACATGGAAGTCCTATTTTGGTATATTTTCAATGTTTTAGTCCTACTTTGGTCTTTCTCCCTTCTTTTGTTTGTTGATGTTACTATTATTTACTATGTATTTGTATATCATTAACAATATATATACTGTAATATATATGTCAGTTAAATTATTATAAAAATGTATTCATTTGTTTAAATAATATACTTATAATTCCTTTTTATTCTCTATAGAAATATGTATCTGTGTGAAAAAATAATTACGAATAATGCCCGAGTCCAGCTCAAATATGGAGGCCCTGGGTTTATAATAGAAATATTTGCACTAAATAACACTAAAACTTAAGTCATTTTCCTAAATAGCACTTACATTGTTTTATTCCCAAAATAACACTTAATAATGTCTATAATGTCGAGTGATAGCGAACATTTGATTGAATAATGACTAATGGATAATGACTAAAAGTGCTACATTGTGAAAAAAACACATGTGATGTTATTTAAGAAAAGTCATTATGTTTTAGTGTTATTTACCTAAATTTCCTTTTATAATATAAGTGAAATTTGCATCGAATAGGACTAAAACATAAGTCATTTCCCAATGTAGGACTTAAACTTTTTTATTCTTTAAATAGGACTTAATAATGACTAGTGAGAAGAATAATGTCCAAGTGATGTTGGACATTTAGTTGAATAATGACTAATAGATAATGATCAATGGTCCTACATTGAAAATTAAAAACATACGGTCCTATATTGAGAAAATCATTATTTTTTAGTTCTATTTAGGTAAATTACCCAATATATAATAAATCTTGAGCCTGGCCCGTACTCCAGAATATCAATCTCAATTCTGTTGTGTGTGGGCCGGATACCCGGACCCGTCAAGATCCTCTTCTCTTGACCCGAGATTTCTCTCCTTCCTTACTCTTTCCGAACTTCTTAGCAAAATACTCCCCCGTCCCTAATTTAGCTTCCTCTCAGGGGGAGAACGCAAAATAATAATAATGGGGAGAAGATTTGGCATGATGAAGAAGAAGATGTACAAATGGGGGGTTTATGTATGCTCGTTAAAGCACCATTATTCCACTTCTTCTTCTCCAAGCGTGACTACCTTTTTCAACAAATTCGTGGACAAGAGTAATGTTTTCTCTTGGAACTCTGTCATTGCAGAGCTTTCTAGGAGTGGGGATTCCATTGAGGCGCTTCGGGCTTTCTCTTCTATGCGGAAGCTCTCCGTTTGCCCAAATCGTTCGTCTTTCCCCTGCGCCATAAAATCTTGTTCTGCCCTCCGCGATCTTGCTTCCGGCAGGCAGTTCCACCAGCAAGTTTTGATCTTTGGGTATGGGTCTGACCTTTTCGCTTCGTCTTCCCTGATCGATATGTACTCCAAGTGTGGTGAGCTCGAGGATGCACGATTGCTGTTCGATGAAATTCCCCAAAGAAATGTGGTTTGTTGGACGTCTATGATCGCCGGGTACGTGCAGAGCGAACATCCCCGTGACGCTCTCTTTCTTTTTAAAGAACTGTTGGTTTCGGAGAGTGAGAGCGTGGGAGACGAGGAAGTGTATGTTGATGCAGTGGCATTGGTTTCTGTTCTATCTGCTTGTTCTCGGGTTTCGGGGAAAGATATAACTCAGGGGGTTCATGGGTTTGCGATCAAGAGGGGGCTTGATGAGCATCTGGGCATAGGGAACACGTTGATTGATGCTTATGCAAAGTGCAGTGAGGTGGGGCTCTCTCGGAAGGTGTTTGAGGAGATGGCCGAGAAGGATGTCATCTCTTGGAACTCAATGATTGCAGTTTATGCACAAAATGGGCTCTCCTCGGAAGCCATGGAACTGTTTCATTCGCTGGCTAGAGATAAAGAAGTTAAATACAATGCCATCACATTATCCACCCTACTGTTGGCATGCTCGCATGCTGGAGCTCTTCGTCCTGGAAAGTCCGTACATGATCAGGTATTCATTTACATGATTTACCAGCTTCTTATGATTCTTAAATTCCTCTCCTTAATACTTTGCAAACTTATGCCTTCGTAATTTCCCATTGGCTCTGTTATCCATAGGTCATAAAATTGTTCCTAGAAGACAATGTGTATGTTGGAACCTCAATCATTGACATGTACTGTAAATGCGGGAGATTAGAGATGGCTAGGAAGGCATTCGATCGTATGAAAGATAAGAATGTGAAGTCTTGGTCTGCCATGATTGCTGGTTATGGGATGCATGGCCGAGCTAAGGAAGCTCTTGAAGTCTTCTATGCGATGAATCATGCCGGGGTGACTCCAAATTACATTACATTTGTTTCAGTCTTAGCTGCTTGTGCCCATGCTGGTTTGCTGGATGAAGGATGGCATTGGTTTAGAGCCATGGAACACAGATTCCATATAAACCCTGGGCTTGAGCATTATAGTTGCATGGTTGATCTACTTGGGCGTGCCGGTTATCTCACCAAAGCATATAATCTTATCAATGAAATGAAGGTGTTGCCCGATTCTGTTGTTTGGGGCTCTCTTCTTGCTGCTTGCAGAATGCACAAAAATGTAGAACTTGCAGAACTTTGTGCTAATAAGTTATTTGAAATAGACCCGACCAACTGTGGGTATTACGTCTTGCTTTCGCATATATATGCTGATGCTGGGAGATGGAAAGATATGGAGAGGATGAGAATAATCATGAAAAACAAAGGGTTAACCAAAACTCCAGGATTCAGTCTAGTAGAACTGAAAGGTCTGGTGCATTTATTTCTTGTTGGAGATAGACAACATCATCAACATGAGAGGATTTATGCATATTTGAACAAGTTATCCATTGAGTTGCAAGCGGTTGGCTACACACCGAACATGAGTTCGGTTCTTCATGATGTTGATGAAGAGGAGAAAGGATTGGCATTGCAAGTTCATAGTGAAAAGTTGGCCGTTGCTTTTGGAATTTTGAATTCCATCCCAGGCGAAACAATCCACGTGATTAAGAATCTTAGAATATGTAGTGACTGTCATACAACAATTAAGCTGACAACCAAGATCGTTGATCGGCAAATTGTTATTAGAGACTCCAAGCGATTCCACCATTTCAAGGATGGAATTTGCTCATGTGGGGACTACTGGTGAGGTGATCAGAGTATTTTTTATGTAGATGCAGAGGACTATTTGAGCAGTGTAAAATCCCACAAGCAATGTCTGGGAACGGAGTACACCACCGCAATTTGAATGCAAGTGAGAAATGAAAACATGAAAAAACTCTATTGCTTCGTGGCGGTTTTCTAGAAATGGGACACGCGAGAGTCAGATGGGCCTCCTCATTGATGGGCTCCCTCTCATCTCTATATATAGTTAAAAGGGTTAGGTTAGAGGGTTTAGGTTTATTTTTTAAATTGCCGCGGGTGATCTCTTATTTGCAATCATTGTTCATCATCTACGGTTCAACAAAATGCCTTCGATGGTATGTTACTCTTTTGATTAATTGAGTTTCAGATTTTAGTGAGGGATAGACCATTTATTTTGATACTTGCTCCATTAATCACTCAATCCATATGACTTGCTCTAATGATTAATTGACACTGAACAAGTCATATGGATTGAATGATTAACGGAGCAAGTATCAAATAAACGGTTTAATCCTCGCTAAAATCCGAAAGTCAAATAATTAGAAGAGTAACATACCATCACAGGCATTTTGTTGAACAATAGATGAACAGATGATGAACAACTATAGTAAATAAGAGATGACCAGCAGCGGTTCAAAAAGTAAACCATAAACCCTTTAACCTAACCCCTTTAACTATATATAGAGATGAGAGGGAGCCCATCAAGGAGGAGATCCATCCAACTCGCCTGTCCCATTTCTAGAAAACTGCCACGTAGCAGTAGAGTTGTTTCACCTTTTCATTTCTCGTTTGCATTCGTATGCAGTGGTAAATGAACCTCTTCAACTGTGTTTTCCGGCTTCCGGCCTTAAAATATTTCCTGTTTTCCATGTGATTATTCCAAATTTCCAACTACACTGCGAATCCGGTTGAGACTTGCATTCCACGGTGGGTGTAGCTGCTGCTTTGCTGAAATGAAGATCTTAAGAAAATTATCATCCATGACTGTTACTGTCTTTGGCCACCAACATTGATTCTTATGACCATCACTGCAGGAGGTGACCCATTGTGTCTTTTCAACTTTGTTTCCTATTGTGATACTGCATAGCCATCAATTATGAAATGAAAGAATTTTCAGGTTCTCAATTGCAAAAGCATTGGCAACAATGTAACATTGTGGTGGCAATGAGCTGAAACAGGATTCCGGGCCTAATCCATTTATATATTTGGGTCGGTCTCAATATACCCATCAAATACGTATGTAGCAACATGATTGTAAGTTCTATCATCGTTCTATTTCTAAGCTTCTACACAATTTTCGATCCATCACTCGTGATTCTTTACAACTCTTATTACATTTCATGCTACCAGATACTTATTCCTCTGTTTTTATTAAATTTCACTGTGTAGCTTCCAAAAAAATGAGTTATATTCAATTGGTCAAAATTTAAACATAAATGTATCTAACAAACCACCATGAGTGATCATTAGTTGATCAAAAATGGCTCATGATGCTTGTTGAAAGTTACAAATATGAAGAGTCTCTTGTCATCTTATGCACTAATGTCATCCTGCTCCTCTCTACAGTTTTGCAGAGAGCCAAAACATTTTTTCGGTATTCTCTATATCATTTTTCTTTTCCGGTCGAGAAGCTACATACATTGCTGATCAATTTGCATGAACTTCCCAAGTCTCTCTTTTATTTACAACCTATCCTTGCATATCAGCCATAGTGTATTTACTGATGTTTTAGGATGGTTAATCTAATTCAGTACAAAATGTATTCATTTAGGCTTGGGTATGTGTTTCCTAGCAACCAGGAGTAACCATTCTAGGCCGGTGGGCATAGTTCAGTTGGTTGAGCAAGGGGTGGCCAAAGAGGGTAAATTCATGTTCGATTCTTGGCAATTGCGTTGGGAGACAATTATGTTAACCACATGGTCTCTTCAAGTATAAGGTGATAGCTTCACCTTTTGCGAGTTAGTATTAAAGCTCATTTCACCCTTTATCAGGTGACTGTCTTGGCCAGTTTGGAAGAAGCCCTCGGGGATGAGAATCATTTTTTTCGGAGTAACTACTCTTTTAAAATAATTTTATTTATAAATTGGTATAGAAATAAAAAGTATTCCGTATTACTTACATTTTTAAAAATTACATCAAAATTTATACAGAATAAGTGGTGTTATGTTTATTTTATGGCCAAATAGCGCTGATACCCCTCGTGGTTTGCAAAATAAGCACCAATACCCCCTCTGTTTTCAAAACTCATTTCTAAAGTCCCTGTGGTTTCAAAATGTTGCACCTGTGCCCCCTTTGATCATTTTCCGGCCATTTTTCCGGCGAAGAAGGGGGGCAATGGTGCATATTTTTTAAAATATAGGGGGTATCAGTGCTGATTTTTATTTCTCGCATATTTTTTGTTCTTTCCATTTTTTCCTAATTTTGTTTCATTTATTAATAAAAGTTTTTTAAAAATTATTTTTATAATGTTCTTAAAATTTAAAGTTGTTTTTTTTGAAAAAATAACATATAATGCATATGTACTTCTCAAATTATTAATTTTTGTTTTTTTTGAAAAAAAGTAATTTTTTTAAGAACTTCAAAAAAATGAGGAATAAAATAAGAAACAAATTAATACAAAAATAAAAATGAATATCCTTTTTGGACATCTTAATTCTATGGACTTTTTTAGGCGTGTCCAATTTTTTTTATTTTTTGCGTATTTTAATTTTTTCATTTCGTTTTTCCATATTTTTATTTTTTTATTCTTTGTTTTTTTGAACTTTTCAAAAAATTATTCTAAGTAACAAAGAGTGAAAATGTTTAATTTGAGATAGATGTAATATGTGTTAATTTTTTTATTTTTATTTTCATTTCAAACACAAAGAATTTGAAAATTTTTGAAACATTATAAAAAATTGAAAATATATTTAAAAAAATCTAGGAAAAGGAAAAAGAGATAGAGAATATTTAAAAAAAGGAAGAATAATAAGCGAAAATAAGAAATGAGCACGAATGTCCCCTATGGTTTAAAAATTATGCGCCAATGCCCCTATTCGCCGGAAAATGGCCGGAAAATGATCAGAGGGGTGTGGGTGCAACATTTTGAAACCACGTGAACTTTAGAAATAAGTTTTGAAAACAGTGGGGATATTGGTGCCAATTTTCCAAACCACAGGGAGTAACGGAGCTATTTGGCCTTTATTTTATTTTATCACATAATCAATTAAAATTCACATACAAAAGTTATCGAAAGTCTTCAAAAAACAAGACATAATTTTGTGATGGGAAGTGATATTTGTACACCAAAAATTGTACTCCACTTTGTACCTGAAGATATGCACTCACATTTTGTGTTAGTGTGATCTTAGAGTGATACTTTACAATGACACGAAATATCGTTACATTTTTTTTATTAAACTAACATTTTATGATCACATGAATCGTTAAAATATTGATACATCCTTTTGAGTATATTCTTGGTGTACCCTACAGTAGCTCTGTGTTTTTGTACTGAGTCAACAGGCAGAATGTAAAAGTGTCACAATTGTCTGTCCTTTTCTCTGTCTCCTTTTCTTTTCACATTTTTACATTTTAGGATTCTCTCTCTCACTCTGTTTCGTGCTGCACAGTTGACTCTTATGGTCTGTGATAACTTTTTTCTTTCATTTTTTTATGGAATATGTTATTTGTGCAATTTATGGAATAAAGTTATACTCCGTATGTAGTTTGTACTTTGTATATTAACTATACTTCAAAAGGTGGAACGCCCACCCCGGGTGCCCTCACACCCCGGCCCGATAGAATTGTGAGAGACGAAATCATGGTACAATTTCAATCTAATTTTTAGAGAGGTCGCCCCGTGTTCGGTGCGCACAAGGAGTTATAACAAAGAATAGAAGGAACCATTTGAGGCTTTGAGCTACCCATGCCACCATGCGGGTACTAATTGTACTTTAAATTGTAAAATACATTTGTGCACTGACATTTTTTATCGGTGTGATGGTTCATATTGACACAAAATTCTAGTGTATTTTTATTATTATTACACTAATATTTTGTGTCAGCGTGAATCATCAAAATGTCAGTATATAACTATGATCTGCAACTTGAGATACATTTTTTGGTGTATTCCTAGGGTGGTTGATTTTTTATTTTTGGAAATTTTCTTGAATGGATCAATGTCAAATTGACAATTACACCCCACTGTGTAATGCCACTAATAATAACACGAAAAATAAGATAAAAGAATAAGCATGTCACAAAGATTTTTTTTCTTAAACTAAAAATCCGAGGGAGCATGTTTTTTTCATAAAAGTAGAGGTCTTAATTTGACAAATTTTTCACTTGTATATTCAACAGAGGGGAGGTGATTACTATTGAGTCCCATACAACTTTTAAGGATTTTATAATTTCATTGATGGCAGACTACCTTAGTCAAAGATATAGGCTTTTGTTCAATTTTTCATGTTCTTTAGTGACACTTTAACAAATATCTATATTTACAAAAAAAGTTATTACAGAGGTATACCTATTTTGTGATAAGAGTTCACGAGTCCTATTTCTGTTTCAAAATATTACTGATCGAGGGTTTAAAATTTGAAATAATATATTCAAAGGGAAAAATCTTCCTATATTGTCATTTTCTCCAAAAAATTCTTCTCATTACTTTTTTTTTTTAATATTTTAAATACTCTAAATACATTCACTTTCTTTAGTCATTACACTCTTCTAATACTCCACTCTCTTTCATTAAGGAACTTTTATTTTTTTTCAACTCTCTTAAAAAAATTCTGAAAAGATGTCCATTTGGGAAGTTATTTCCCAAAGAAGGGACTATCAAACATTTGAACACAAATAGACTGTCTAATGAGGTGGTTCACGCAAAACTACAAAGAAACTATTTGCATATTAACCGTTATATACATTCGAAGATGCTTACTTACTCTGAAAAGTGAAATTTCACCTTGAGGATAAAAAGTTCTTTAGATTCATAATTACCATGGGTAGAATTGAGCCAAACCCTATTAATTAAGGAAAAAATGGTTATGCATCCTCTAAACTCCATAAGAGATGTTTAGAACATCACCGAGCGCTGCTCTTAGTAGATTTTTGTCCGGTTCAAAACTTTATTTTTCTCTGTCTCAAATTAAATTATATGTTTTGATTTATAATATTTTACTGAAGTTATTTTCAAATTATTTTATATGAAAAATGGTGTAGAACTAAAAAATAAAAATTATGTGTTTAAAAATTACATCAAAAGTGTAGGACTTCTGGAGCTACCAATTCTTCTAAAATCTATTGGTGTTAGAAGGAGCACAAATCCTAGCCTTATAATGCATTCAGCACACACAAGTGCCCACGATATTTTCATTTTTTTCATTTCCTCATCAAAATAGAAGGAAAATTAGAAGGAAAATTATTTCATTTTCTTTTCATTTCCTCATCAAAATAGAAGGAAAATTGTTTCATTTTCTTAAATTCATTTCTTCTTCTATTTTTCATATAAAACCATATAAAAAGTAATTTTAATCAAACATGATTACGCGTAACGAGAACTTTATTTATGGACAAAAGAGTTTTTTTTTAAAAAAAAATATTCCATTTTATTTAATTTTTGACAAATACACATTAGACGACTTTGAGAGTGGGAAAAAATGATTAGATTTTAGGTACACCGTATCTTTGTTCTCCAAAGGAGGGGTAGTAGTAGTAGTTGTTAGGGTGTCAGTGCCCTCTATTTGCTCCTTGGCCCAAAGACTTTCCTTCTAATCTGGGGTTCTCTTTCTCACTATTATAGGGTCCCCTACCCCTTAAAAATCCACATGCATTTGTTATTCCCATTCATTTCCACACGGTTTCCCTTCCTCACCTTCCCATAGGGATTCTTTAATCATCTCAAATTGTTTTTTTATATATAGAAGAAAAATTAAATATATCCCAAAAATAGTCTCTTTCTCCGGCCGGCTCCATGAGTCACCGTGAACACCTTTCTCCGGCCGGCTCCATGCCCCGGTCGCCCGCCGGTAATGCTAGTTTCCCGATCATAACAGTTGCAATTGTCGGAATACTCGCGACGGGTTTATTGCTGGTCAGCTACTATGTTTTCGTGATCAAGTGCTGCTTGAACTGGAACAGAGCAGACGGTCTCCTCCGGCGGCTGAGGAGCCGTCAGGGGAGCGCAGCCGACGGGCCTCTGCCCGTTCGGAATCGCGGCCTCCGGGAGTCGGCCATCCGGTCGATCCCGGTGTTCTGCTACGGGGAGGAGCACGCGGCGGCGCGGGAATGCGCCGTCTGTCTCGGCGAGTTTCAAGAATCGCAGAAGCTGAGAATCATCCCGAGCTGCCGCCACTATTTCCACGTCGACTGTATCGACGTCTGGCTGCAGAGCAACGCCACCTGCCCGCTCTGCAGGACCGCCGTGTCCGCCGCAGTCCAAGATCCGGTCTTGATTCCTCGTACCAACCCCCAAGATCCGATCTTGACTCCCCGTACCGCCGCCGGCGACGAAGATGACGATCGCTGTGTCCCCGTCGTCGGAATTCACGCGCAGGGTCGCCGGAAAGATGAAGCGAACGGAGTTCGAGAAAGAATTGTTCTTCAATCTGGGGTGAAAAGGGCCAAGGATCTGACCCATGTTTCGAGCTTCGGGGACGAGTGGATTGAATCAAGAAACAGAGACGATCGGTTCGGAATCGCGCCCATTCGGAGATCTTTCTCCATGAACTCCGCCGCCGACCGGCAGATTTATTCGGACGTTCAAGAAATAGTTCAACGGCAGGGTTGTATTCCGGCGGCCGGTGATCATCATCTCAGTGAAGGCGGCGGCGGGAGCAGTAGCAGCAGGGTAAAAAGGTCATTCTTCTCGTTTGGGCAGGGATGGGGATCAAGAAATGCAGTTCAGCCTGTTGTTCTTTTTGAGCCTTGATCTGTCATAATTTTCATTCCATTTTAAAAGTTTATTACTTGTAGTAATTTTTTTATTTCTTATTTTCCAAACATGGATCATGCAATTACTTCAGACAATTAATTGAAGGAATGAGGGGTACAGAAAATATTAATTGTGGGTAGAATTTTTTTATTTATTTTTAATGAGAGGGTGGGCCAGTGGTCTTCAATTTTGACTTTTTTTGCCATAGTGAAAGTCTAACCAAATCTTAAACAAACATTTTTAATTTCTACTTATATATTTAATTATTCACACCCATTAGTTAGTGTTGCTTGTCTTGTGTTCAAATCTTCAAACATGGATATTTTAACTCAACATGTTATTTTTTTTTCCTCTCTTGTTTGTGCTTTTTCAATTATCAAGTGACTTTCTCTTGAGTGTTTTTATGAAAAAAATATGGAGTATATCAACACGCATTATAAAACGTATGATCTTAAAAGATGAATCATCATTATTAGGTAATAAGGTAATTTATGGAGTGTTGGGATTATATTGCACATATATATTGCTGAAATTATTTAATTTATTTAAAAGTTTATATATATATATATATATATATATATATAAAGCCTAAGTGAAAACTTTACTAAAAAGTAGATCTGATAAGATAGTATTATTTTACTTCCTCCGATCTTTAAAATTTTTTATGTTTTGACTTTTTTGGTCAAATAATGACATATTTTGACTACAATTTATAAAAAAATATACTTAATTATGATATAAACTGAATATAGTTGGTTTCATTTTAGGATATTATTTTGATATATAAAATTTTCATATCATTTATTTATTAAGATTATATTTAATTTTCGGTTAAAGAGTCATTATTTGATTAAAAAAAGTCAAAACATGAAAGTTTTTAAGAACAGGTATTAAACAAATAATAAGACCATAGTGATGGGATAACTCTTTTTTAGGGCAAAATGTCACAATAATTATTCAACTATACAAGGAGTGCTACATTTCAGTCCAAAAGAGTATTACATGAGAAGTGCGGCTTGGGGGGTGTCTCTTCAATTTAAGGGTCGGTGGTGGTAGGAAAATGTTTGTTTCAATGGTTGGTTATGCCTAAATTTTATTGTAGGCCAAGGCAGATTTATGGGGCTTTTGCGGGCCCAACCCACCTTAGTCTTTATTAAAAAATGCTACCTCCGTCCCAAAATATTCACAACATTTATTTTTTCAGCAGTCGTAGAAACTTTTGTTTATTTCTACATTTTTATTAGTTACGGAGTGTTTGATAAAATAAAATATTCTTGACACCTCTTATTTCGAAAAAATTTTCATGTAGTTTTTTTATATGTAAATTTTATTTTTTATTTCTATACCAATATGTAAATAAAATGAATTAAAAAACTTGATATTTTGCCTCGGGAATACAAATGTGACAAATATTTAGGGATGGAGGGAGTAATTTAAGAACATTCTTTGTTGTTAAAAATTTAATAAAATTTCTGAAGGCGATGGATATGTTGAGACTTAGGATCAATTTGGGAATAGTATTAACGTTAGTCTTAGTGTTTTAAAAAGCTATCTACAATCAGTGCTTTGCGTTAGCTTTTTCAAAGTTAATCTGCACTATTATAGTTTTATCTAAAATGCTAACCCTAATCAAATGTTATTCTCAAATGGGACCTTGGTCAATTGTATTAGATTACTATTATTACTCCGTTTCTAAATGAGTTACACTATTATTATTCTATCATGTTGATAAATTTTATTTACTTGTATCTTTTTATTGATAATTTGACGAAAAAAAATTTAAAAATATAAATTATACTTACTCCATCCTCCTAAGATGTTTTCATTTTGGGTTAAAAAATCTCCCAATTATTTCTAACTCTTTTCAGTGTTTTCAGAGTCTTTCTAATTCTTTCCAACTTTTTCTACTCCCTCCGTTCCACAAAATCATTCCTCTTTCGATTTTTTTGCTTTCCACAAAACACTTCCACTTTCCATTAAAAAACAACTTTTACCCCTACTTTTTCATATCCTACCTATGACATCATACTTTTTCACTAATAACCAAACTATCACATCTTACTTTTTCCTATCACATTAGGGCAAAATTGCAAAGTCAACCAAAATTTCACTTTCCTTATTTTTCCCCAAAGTCAAAACCGGAAGGGTTTGTGGAACGGAGGGAGTAGTTTTTTCCAACAATCACTTAAATGCATTTATATATGATGAACAATGACAAATTTTTTTAATTCAAATTTAGAGTTTTCTTACATATTTATTTGGGTGATAACTTAATTGAGTGACTTTTAAACACTTAAATTCTTCCAAATTTAAGTCTTTTCAATTTTTTCCAACTCCCTCTAGTTTTTTTCAACATCTAATTCTAAACTTTCACTCAAAAGAACAGAGTCTAATCTTCTATTTGCTAAACGTATTCTGTTCCGAAGTCAAGCTCAACCACGTGAAAGGAGGCATATAATTATTAATTCCTCTAATTAAGATGTGCATTCTATCAGGATTTAATTACGTGGATAGCACTCCCTAATCTTCTAAACCTAGTCGTGACTCTAAAACACGTCTCCCAAAACGGTGGGGTTCTAGTGACACCAGAAAACGGTGCCACTAGCGGTGCCACTGGGTTTTTAGGCACCTTTGGTGCTCCGTTTATAAAATTGACGGTTCCTACCCCCTAACTCATCCCCTAAACCCCCCACCCTACCACCACTCCTGCACCCCCACCCCAACCCCGCCGTAAGCCCCACAAAATGTGTGGCTATTATGCAATATTTATATTCTAACACTAAAACACGTCTCCCAAAATCCATATTTTTAAGTTAGGCCTCGAAGCAGAAGCAGGTCAAATAGACTTTTTGGCAAGTCTATAGACTCATCATGTTTTATAAAATTGTTGACAAAAAATTTAAATATATAAATTTAGTTTTAATTTAACACTAATTTCCCTTTAAAAAAATTATGTTAAAGCAACTCCAAAACTTCACTTGGGAAAAGGATTGGAGTAATTTGACAAAACACACACATTTAGTTAAAATCATGGTAGAATTAATGAGCTATGGACTTTAGGAGTTCAAACTTCAAAGTGTGGTCAAACATTTAATAGTGAGTCTCCCCAGTGGTACTGAGAATTGGTAGCTGGGTGGGGGTGGGGTCAAATTTTTGTTGTGTTGAATTTTATTGCCCAATTTCTCCCTCCACATCTTACTATTATGGTCTCCCATCCAAGTAGTCAAAAATAAATAAATAAATAAATAAATGATCCAATAAATAATTAGAGGCCGAAGTAATTTTGGATGTCTTTGTTAAGCAACAATGAGCAGATGAAAAATATCAATTGGGACATGATGACACATTGGTTAGCAAATGACACACATGAGAAGTTGTTATGTACTTCATATTTTGTACTCCCTCCGTCCCATTTGGGTTATTTGACTTATTTCTAAAGTTTAAAAAATTAAATTGTATGATTGAAAATGATGCAAGACAAAGAAAAAAAAGTTAGCCACAAAAAGTGAAAAACTTTTTTTTAAAATGAGAATAATTTGGGACCAAAATAAAATAAAGAGGATTAGTTTGGGACCAAATTAATGCTAAAGGTTTAAAACTCGAAAATACTAGTTAATGATAATGTTAGATTCAGCTTTTCTAAAATCACCCAATGTAGACACTGACTTTCCATAATGTTTTTTTGTATAGAATATTATACACTGACATTATTAATATTATAATTTTTATTTTTGGGATAAAAACATGAAAATCTATTTTAGTTTTTTTCCTTTATTTTATTCCTATTTTTGACCTTCATCCTTAGTATTTTAAAGTTAATTTGAACTATTACAAAGTGATTCAAAATGCTAATTGAAAACGTGTTTCCCTAACGAAGCCATGAACTTTAGTATTTGGATTTAGGATTTTAAGAAAAGGTTTTCCAGCATTAACATTTTAAAAAATAATTTATGACACTAAACATTATTCTAAAAATGTCAACGCTGATTATGACATTGTTTTCAATCATAACCTTAGGAGGGCACAATTATTTTTTACTGGTTTTATAAAAAGAGATTTGGTAAATTAGAAAAATGAAGATAAGGGAGTAGATATGTGAGAATAAAGCTCGATAAAATCCATAATCAAGGAATTTTTCCACAACTCGTAGATGATGCTCAACACCAAACCCTTCTCTCAAGCTATCAAAAAATTTAACACATTTCACCAGTACATCCCCGAACTCACGTCTTGCCACACCCTATCACAACGACGTTCGCCGGGTGCCAAGACGATTGCATCGGGGACAATTGGTCCCGGATGGACATCCGTTCTTTGAAAATTCATTATTCTATGAAATTAAAATTTTTAGTCTATGAAAACGACAAATCAAAAATATGTAATGCACTACGAAAATCCACAAATATATCACAAAAAAATTCGGATATCTCATAAACATTTCGATTTTCTAAATTCTCAACATAGATCTAATCTAAATTTTAAATTTTCTAAATTCTCAACATATATCTAATCATAAACATATCTCATAAACATTTCAATTAGGTAATATAAATTTAAATTAGAGATTTTGGGAATGAAATTAGAAAAAATGGTAGAGAGGTTACCATTAACCTGACGAACCGCGACGGACGGCGAGGGATGGCGGGGGGCGCTGTTCTCTCTTCGCAATTCCTTGCCTACTTGAGTTAGTAAAATTGGGGTTTGAATGGTGGAAGATGGATGGTCAATCACTTGTAATAATTTTTTGGCTTAACGATAGAGGTTGTACCGTTAACCTTTTGTGTTTCCCTCACTGATCAGGAATTAAATTGACATATTGACAAAAGTGGTATAATAGAGGGATAATTTTGTGTTCATTTCCTTGATCAAATTTTTATAACATTTATTTAATTAGATTATGCTGAATTTATGGTAAAAAGTCAATGTTTGACCAAAAAATTCAAATAAAAAAGAGTTATCAAGGACAGAGGGAGTACAACTTATATTCACTACATAAAATCTGTCGATATCTGAAAGCATTTGTCTTCAGAATGGAACTGGTATTAGCATTTTAGTATGTAGCTTTCATGTTTCCATAATAACAGCAACCCAATGCAAGCAAGCTTTAATTTTGCCACTGAAGAAAGTAACTTGAATGAACAATCTAATGCAAGCAAAGTTTACAGCATATGTAAAAATCTCAAACCTCACAGTTGCTGAATCTTCTGCATCTTCATGTAAAATATGTTCATCTAGAACGTTGCCCTCTTCATTTCCTTTCCCTTCTTTTACAATGTACTGCTCTCCATTCTCCTTTTTGACAATCTGCTCCTTTGCATTGCCTGCTGAATTTTCTACTTGCTGTACAACCTCCATGTAACGCCCCGAAACCCGGCCTATCAGAATACAATAATTAATTAATTCTGATAGGCCAGGTTTCAGGGCGTTACACTCCATTTGCATTGTAAAGTTTGGTCTAATATGTTCTCCACTTCTCCATTTTTCTGCATTTTTGTTGTTTTTGATTTTGTTTTCCTCCACTATTGGTTCTGCTCTGTTCCTTTTTCTAAGCTGCAATATATCACATTACAAATGAGTACAAGGACACAGTAGAACGAACACATTTCTTTACTTCAATACATGTTTATTCTTTTCTACTTTTCTATGCAATTTAAAGCCAAACCAAAAGCACAACTTGTATGCACTGCTTAATGAGTAAAAAATATGACTACACATGAATTCTGGGAGACAGCACCATGAACATATTTCATTATCTAAATGCATGTTTATCGTTTTCAAATTTTTCTATGCACTTTTAAGACAAACGGCCAACGACAAGTTCAAAGTGTATCCACTTTTTTATGAGTATCAAATCACACTACAGATGAGTATGAGAGCAAAGCAGAATGAACATTTTTATTATCTAGATGCATGTTTATTATCCTTTTTCTACTTTTTCTATGCACTCTTAAGCAAAACCAAAAGCACGATTATGCACTTATAAAATCAGACATCAAATGAGTGTGAGGACACAGCAGAACGAACATACTTCATCATATAAATTCATGTTTATCATTTTCTACTTTTTCTATCCACTTTTAAGACAAACCAAAAGCACAAGTTTTATTCACTCGTTAATAATTATAACAGGAGAGAGCAGATTAAACAACAATTCATTATATATATTCATGCTTATCATTTTCTACTTTCTGTTTATGCAATTTAAAGCCAAACTAAAATGAGTGTCATAACTACTACACTGCTGACTTGACAAACCACACAATTGTATTCCCTACTCAAAACTATGAGCAAACAATAATTTTTATTCATCTTCATATTCCTCTTTGTTTTCTTCATTTGTCTACCGGACAAATGTAGAGTAGAACACTTCAATTGGAAAGTTCTTTGTTTGAAACTATCACTACTTTTCTTTGTCTTCCGCATTGTAGATGTAGTAGAGAACACTTTGATTCTAATAACGTAATCATTCGCGATGGTGTTTGCTATCTGTGCAAAATTTGATTTTGCGGATGAATTGAAGAGCGCCAATTGGAAACAAATGCGGCCGTGTCTTAGCTGTGGAATGAGGTTTATGGGCAAATTTGAATTGGATAGTGTCTATATTAGAATTGGGCTTTGTTTTATTTTGTTATATGGGCCGGCTGTACATAGACTTAGGTACCACTGGATGTACTATATCTGCTCTCTAAAAACATATATCTCTCTCTATTTCACATTAAGGCATCTTCTTCTTTAATAAACAATTCCAATTAACAGGAAAATTTCACTCCCGGCCTTTTCTTTAAGAACTTTCAGTCTTACAAGTAAACATAGCATGGTCAATTTGTATTTATGAAGAAAAAACATTTTACTTGCAGTAAAACAAAAATACAAGACTTTACCTGAATTTACAGTATGGCTCAAATTTCTGTTTGATCTCATGGCCCAATTTCAAGACTTCTCTAGTTTTCTTCAAGAACTATATGTCATACAATGTAACATGGTCGCTTCCTATTTATGAACAAACGAAAAATGATGTTATGCTAGTCATGTTATTAAAGACTCTACCTGAATTTACACCCTGTGCAGACTCCTAACCTTTTCATCAAGTATTATCTGTCATACAAGGCAACAAGGTTGGTTCCTATTCATGAAGAAACAAAAAAATGATGTTATGCTAGTCATGTTAAAATGATATTAAAAGGCTTAACCTGAATTTACAATATCGCTCAAATTTCTGTTTGATCTCATGATGCAATTCTAAGTTCCCCTACCACATCTTCTCAACTTTGATAATACACAGATTAGTTGCACAATTTTCTTTGAAAAGTAGCTCTGTCAGCTTGGGACACCCAAGTATTTGCAAAGTGCTAATGGAAGGCCAATTCATATCTGAGCATATCTTTCTCAAAGCACGAGAGTTTTTAGTGCTGGTAAAAGATCACCACCATCTGATAACGTGTTAATCTCTTCAATTGCCGAGCAATCTCTGATCTCTTATCTCCAGGTGTTTGAAACTCATAGCATAATTTTTTTAGAACAGCTCTTTCATTTGTGACCAATTGCTTAGAACCGGCGTATTAAGGTTGGAAAGCCAACAATTTGCTTGACAGTTGTACTTGTGTTGCACCCATTAATCAAACAGCCATGAATATGCTCCATGCTTCGGTTTGAGATCCCCATTTGAACAAGATGTTCCACAGAATTCTTTTTCATCATAATGAGGGCTTTTGCTCTAATGAGAAGTGCTAAAATCTCGGAAGAAAGTACAAAACTCTGGTAATGATAGAAACAGTTTGGAAGTTTAAAGAATGTAGTCATTAGAAACCCAATATAAAATTCAAGTTCAAAGGAGCCAAGGTTTCTTCTTCCCTTTAAGATGCATTAAGGCTACCGTGGTTTGGAACAAAGACTTTTAAGGTACCACCTGTCACAACCTGTCACTAGAATGACATCTGCAATGTCATCTTTGAAGTAAAATCTAAGTGTGGTTAGTTCTTTTAAATTGTCAATTTTCACTATGCTACATATGATCACCTCATTGCACCATGTCATGTAAGAAAGCTCATTTGTGTGGACAACATTTCATTTCACATTGATAACGATTACCTTCAATGAAGATAGTTCAAATATGCTTAGAGTACCACATCAACCTCCATCTCCTTCTATTGACATTGTCAATCGCCTTAAATGCTTTTTAATCTATTTGTCCCATCTGGTATCTCTTGCGCACATAAGGAACTTCAGGCTTATTATTAAGACCCTTATGCTTGAAAGGAAGCTTATGCTTGAAAGGAACATACATACACACATACATACATCAAGGTTTTAAAAGGCGAAAACTAGCCTCGAGGCGGTAGAGGAAAATGCCTCGAGGCGGAACAAGGCGTAAGCCTCAGATCAACTTGATAAAAGATAACAAACAAAACAACTTTTAGGTAAACAAAATGCATAATCCATAATTATGTCAAATAAGTCATTAAGTAATACATAAGTTTACATACATACATACATACATACATACATACATACATACATACATACATACATACATACATACATACATACATACATACATACATACATACATACATACAAACATACATACATACATACATACATACATAC